AAAAAAAAAAAAAAAGCCCCTATTTCCAAAATAATAAAAATAAAAATTTAGCTGACTACAGTGGTAGGCACCTGTAGTCCCAGCTACTTAGGAGGCTGAGGCAGGAGGCTAGCTAGCCTGAGCCCAGGAATTCAAGGCTGCAGTGAGCTATGATGATACCACTGCACTTTAGTCTCTAAATGAGACACATAGTTCCAAGGCTTTGCCTGTGTTAGCTCCTTATACCAGCCGGCCATCCTCTGAGGGAGGAGCTGCCACCAGCCCGCATCATGGCACTAATTCCTACAAGCGATTAGCCAGGGGCCCAGCAGAATCTCACCTCCCAAAATGTTAGTAAACAGGCTATTATCATCTGCAGCAGTGGGCCAGCATGTGCCTGGGGAGTTCAGAGTCAGGTTCCTATCCATCCCCAGTGCTTTCTAGCTGTGACCAGGGTGCATCACCTTTTCTGAGCTCCAGGTTTCCTGTTTATAAATTGAAAATGACCATGCTCTCCTTGAGGGCTGGACCAGAGGACAGAAAGAGACAAATCATGGTGCACTAAATTGTATGTGGTGATGATTTAATGCTTGGCAATGGTTGATTTTCACAGTAATTAGTGCTCAGCTGAGGAAAGCTTGGGGGGGTCTGGCAGTAGAGAGGGGAGACGCACCAACCCAGTGGAAGGAGCAGGAGTGGGGTATGTACCAGTGTTTCTGGAAGGAAGGGGGTCTCAGAACCCCTCAGGAGAGGCTCAGGGTAAAGGATGGTGGGGACATTTCACGGAGGCAGAGGGGATTTGGGGAGAACAGGGAGGGAGCAAGGTGCACAGAGGTCTGGGACAGACTTCAAGCTGGGTGAGCGGTGATGCTGGAGAGGAGAGGGAAGGGCTGGAGGTGGGAGAGAAGAGGAGGCTACAAGAAGAAATTGGCCAGTGTGTGTGGGGGGGGACTTTTCTCAAGGGACAATGTAGAAGTTTTATTTATTGGCTCAGCACCTGTGGCTCAAGTGGCTAAGGCGCCACCCATGTACACCTAAGGTGGTGGGTTCAAATCCAGCCCGGGCCCACCAAAACAACAATGACAGCTGCAACCAAAAAAATAGCCGGGCGTTGTGGTGGGCACCTGTGGTCCCAGCTACTTGGGAGGCTGAGGCAGGAGACTTGTTTGAGCCCAGGAGTTGGAGGTTGCTGTGAGCTGT